TTTTTTTTTTTTTTGGCAGAACCAGGGATTGAACTCGGGCCCTCACACTTGCCAGGCAAGTGCTTATTCTACTGAGCCATCTCCCCAGCCCTCAAATCTTTCAGTGCTCTCAGCCTCATGTATTCTTCATGAAAACCTGTTCTTGAGAACAAACAGCACAAATGTACATACAATATGTAAACATTCTATGTGGTACTAAAATTTTATGGGGGATTAACTTGGGTTAAGGGCTGTAAAAATATGACAAGGTGAGAATGAAAAAGTAGAGAACTGGTTAGCCTAAAGCAGCAGTACACTCTTTGGAGGCTGAATCTTGGTGTAAGAATTTGTGTGGGCACTGTTTGAAGAAGAAGGCAAATGGTACCTTCTTTCTCCACGTCGTGTTGTTCAGTCACTTTCCTACATGCCATTTTGTCCAAAAGCTGTGATCCCCTTGCACATTGTTCTTATTTTCTCTATAACGTAAGGTCTCAATCCCATGAACTTTTAGCAAGTTTATAGTCATTGAAAGTTTTGGGTTTTTTTCAGTACTGGGGATTGAACCAAGAACCTTCACTGAGCTATATCCCCAGGATTTTTTTTTAAAATGTTTTATTTTGAGCAGGGCCTCACTGAGTCACTAGATATCCCAGGCTGGACTTGAGCTTGTGATTGATCCCCTGGCCTCAGCGGACCTGCACAGGGGCTCCACCATGCCCAGCTTACTGAAACGCTATGTAGTGGATTTGAATGGACCGCCAGAAACCCATTTTTATATTTGTACTTATCTTCTTAAGCGTTGGTTCTACTATTCTTTTCCTGTTGTTGGCTTCTTTATCCACCTGTGAAGTTGCTTGCCTTACCTGCTGGGTTCATTCTGCTGGGGTTCATGGAATTTTAATCCTTGTTATCTCTTTTTAGAGCAGGCTAAAACATTTTGGATTACTAGTTAGGTCTTCATGAATTTCCTCAGGTGTTCTTCATCATGCGAGTATCTTTCTTCTCTGTCAATTTTGAAAGGTAGTTTTGCAGGGTGTATCAGTGTGGTTTGGAGGTTCTCTTTTAGAGCCTGAAACATTTCAAGCTCCTCTTGGCTTGAAGGTCTGTGTTGAGAAGTCAGCTGTGATTCCAGTGCACTCTCCTTTACAGGTGATTTGGTTTTTTTGTCTAACAGCCTTTAAAAAAAAAAAAAAAAACTTTATTTATTTGGTGCAGGTCCTCACTGCGCAGCTCGAACTCATAGTGATCCCCGTCTCAGGCTTCCTAGTGCTGGGATTACAGGCATGTGCTGCCACGCCCACTTTCAGTGGCCAGCACGGCACAGGCCCAGCATGGCATGTGGTTCCAGGGATAGAACCCAGGCAGGCACTTAGACCACCCAGCTATCTCCCCAGCAGGTCTAACAGCTTTTAATAGTTTGTTCTTGTGTTGAATTTCTGGGATCTTGGCTACCATATGCCTTGATGGAGACTTTTTAATCATGGCTAATTGGAGTTCTATATGCATCACATAGCTGTTCTGCTAGAGAAGTTTCCTGCCATGACTTCTGTGAACAGGTTTTTTTTTCTTCTCATTTGTGCTGCCTCCTGCTTTTTCATCAAATCTGATCAAATTTTTGTTCTCCTTTGCATAGTCTAGCAGCTGCTGGATTTTCTCGTGTTCCTTTACTATTTTAAGAAAAATTTTTAAAAATCTTTCTTTTCATTACATACTGCAATCCTCCTCTTGTGTGTCTGATCTTCTGTCCTCACAGTGGCTCCTTCAGTGCATGCTTTCGGTGGGATTTTAGATCTGGGTATCTGTTTGAATCTGGGTCAGGGATTCCATTTCTTTCCTGTGTTGGACATTCACGGCTTTCAGCATTTCCTTAAGTTCCTCTACTTTTCCTTTAACCTGTATCTGCTCTAGAGTCAGTGCTGGTTAGGTCAGTTATGTCAGTTTGGCTAAAGTCAAACAATCAGCAGTATACAGAGCATCAAACACAGCCTAGAAAATGACAAACTGAGGTAACCATTAATTTGCCACATTAAACCATAAGAACTCAATTCTGTGGTTATCTAACAAAATCTAAAACCATAAAATTGGATGCAGTAAATAAGCCCTCAATATAGCGTTTTCACCCTCAGGAGAAAATTTACAAGGAGCTGTGGGCAGGGGGCAGATAGAGAAATAAAGCAAGCCTTGGGGAGAAGGAAGAGCAGGCCAACTGGGACTGGTGAATGAAGGAGAGAAAGAAGGAAGAAATGACAGCGTAATTCAGCAAAAGCCAGAAACCACGCCCACAAGTATCCTCTCTAAGGTGTGTCTGTTCTGTCCCTCGTACACAAGGTGGGCAGACAGAGTCCAGATTCCAAGTTCATCAGGCCCAGGAAGCCAGCTCTGGCTCTGCAGCAGGGTGCTCAGCAATCCCACGAGCCTGCACCTTTAGCTGCACTGAAGTTCAGGCTGCAGTGGGGCTCCCTGGCTTCCTGCTGACTTGACTCCTTCTCCCTGAGACTGGGAGCTGCTGGTCAGAGCTGTCCCACAGCTGTTGAGTTCCCAGCTCTGTTGGCCACTCTCCAAGATGGCCCTGGCCAGCTGCCCTCCTGAGGAGTTGTGAACCTGAATAGCTCGCCAGCCGCTGTGTCCATTGCTCTGTTCCACGGGTGCACTTCTCCAAGGAGGCGCCAGGGATCACCAGCAGTCACTGTGCGTCTGCAGGCTGGAGCTGCAGCTCCCAGGCAGTGAGTCAAGCCTCGGAGAAAATGTCACCTGCCACCTCCTCATTCTTTGCTGAAGTCCCTTTGTTCTCCCCTTGGGCTTCAGTGCTTGATCCAGAACCTTCCTGTCCCAGGGACCCCCTCCTTCCTTTCTCTGTTCCTCCCATTGCTGTGTTCCTGTCTGCACACCAAATCCTGGAGAAGCTCTTCCTGCTGCTCGCCGCCCTGCCATCCCTGGAAGCCCAGCACTGGTTCACTAGGATGGAAAGCCGTTGTCAACTTTGGGGTGTGTAACTGATCAGATGTAGTGTCCCCAAGCTCTTACATATCAGAGGCAGAGATCATGAATGGTCGTTGGATCCTCTGGGCCCTCGGCTTGCCCTGCATTAATGCCCTGAGGAGTTAGCGGCGGCCCCTGCTCTGCACAGGTGGGGCCGGCCTGATCCAAGAGGCAGGCCCCGGGTGCCGGCCGGGCCGACTGCTTCCTGTCCGAGGCTGCTCCTCGGCGTCCTGGCTGCCGAGGCCTGAGCACTTTCTCCGTGCTGTTCACCTTGGAGTGCGCCAACTAGAGCCTGAAAACATGGCCCCAAGCCAGGCTTGTCTTGGAGACGGGTGTCAGGTACTTCGCCCCAGCAATGGCAAGGCAGTAGGGCCCTCCACGGCGTGGCAGGCAGTGTTTCACTGACCTGAGTGTCTGAAGCCTGCTTCCGTGATCAGGTTTAGCTGAGCATTGACCCAAAAGACTAATTCATTTAATTCACACATACGTTGTTTACTTTTTTTTCTTATTTGAAGAATTTTTTAACAGGGATACAAGCCAATTTTATCTGAACTATAAAATTATTAGATTTTAGTCTTTTTCTTCACTTTTAAGTATAAATTAGTGCCGTGCTTTGCTTCAGTTCTTCAAGGAAATAAGTTAACATGTTAAGACTTCATTTGTGCTTAAAAGAGGAATGTATTTCTGATAGAATAAATAACTTTAAACATCTGTATTTCAGCATTCCTTGGAGCAGATGTGTTACTTTATAAAGACAATAAAACATTTGAAAAAAATTTTCAACAAATTGAAAACATATG